CCCCCACCATTCTTCAGAAGTACCTATCTCTCTCTTTTAAGTTTACAAACAATTTAGGGACAAGAACCTAAAAGTCCAGCGGGCAATGACTAATTTAGGCATTTAATTTAAGTGGGGTGAATGTCACCTATAATGTCTTAATTTAGGGTCACTCAGTTAACTGGAACTAGCTGTCCTGAAAAAAATTGTGGAGTTAATACAATCTCTGCTATCCTTTAAAAGGATTTTTGCAAATCTTAGCTTAAACATTGAGTTTCATTGCACGTGATTTCTGTTTCTGAGTGGCTGTGTAGATTTTAAACACTGACCTTCTAAATATTTCCATATGGATGACATCTATGAATGCAGAATATTAGATGACAGTTACTTGACCGAAATGCTAGACGTAAAGCTAGAAAAGGCAGTACTCCATTAATGCATTAGGATTTATAGTACATGCCTTGAAAACATATACTTTATAATCACAGTGGTTCAGCTTCTCTGCCATAGATGAGTGGAAAACATGCACAATAGGATTAAATATATTTACATCAATAATTTATCCATATAACTTTCAACACTCACAAAAAACAAAATTTTTAAAATGTCCTCAGCTAATTGTAAATTTTTTCCCATCTTGCTTTATTTGAGTTTAAAGACATATTTATACCTAACACTTGAGAGGAAAACATTGCCAGCTTATCTTAAGAGATTCTCAGTACTTGTAAGATAGTAGCATGAATTTCATATTATGATTACCCAGGTTTATACCTACTTTTTCCTGCATGTAATATCTGAAACTTGAATTCAAGGAATTTAACAGAAAAATAGAGAATGTATATTCACATAAAATGAAGTGATGAGCATATATTAATTGTGTCTAGTCCCTTAAGCACATGACTTGTTACAGCTGCCTATCACTAATGCTTGTTTCCTTGGTTTAAGCTCTAGTGGTCTATATTAGACTCCAGTGAGCTATAATGGTGCTCTGAATGGCCACAGTTTAATTTTTCAAGTCCTTATAACACTATATATGAGGAAATAAATACTGTCTTTCCCTGAACATGGGGTGAAGGCTTTTCCTGTTCCATATTTTAAGGAAAACAATAAAAAAAAACCTGCTGAGATCCAAATACCATAGCGCATTTGCAGTCCAACCTTGGGGGCCGCTGCCTCCATAGATACAAGGCTGCATCAGCCAGCTGTGGTATAGGCACAGGGGCTGCTGTCACACAGATAACCAGGATAGGTAGTACCTCGTCTTTGGGCAAAGAAGCAGGTAACCTGAAGCAGCTGCAGCTACCCTGAACATGTATTATATGACTACGAACGTAGACGCAAAGATGCAGTGCAAACAGGTATTAGGGAGATGCAAGAACGTGGCGGGGGGGTGGAAATGAGAAGGTCTAAAGAGTTAGGATTGTGTGTCAGAATAGATGAGAAAAGGGAGATGAGTGGTCGCTACCTCCTACTCCACTAACATCCCAAAGGATCTGTCAAAATTGAGGATTACCTCATGTTTTGAAGAAATACAACATGTGCAATAGCATGTGGAATATATTTTTGCCAAATGACAGTATAATTGGAAAGGCCTCTGATTTAGTGTTAGGCTTCTACATATTAGATCAGTGGCATTTTCATTCCCTTACCACAAAACCCCTTCAATACTTACTTTTAGCCCCAGTAATGCACCTGACTCTTTTGGCATGGTTGTTCTCTTGTTAAGAATGACACGTCCAATTAAGCGATCTCCCTCTTTAGAAGGCTGCCACGTTACTGGATGCTGTTAAAAAACAAGCAGTAGAAGTAAAAAAAAAATGCAAGCATCTTCCTGTTTTCATTTGTACATTTATATACAAATCATCATGCCATGGTTGTCACAAACACCCTCCTGATGTATGAAGCATCAGAGCTTCCCGTTGTTATATTTGTTGGGCTCTGGCTTCAGTAAATACCTGTAATTAACATACTCGCTGCAAAACCACCTCAACACTAAGTCTGCAGATAAAATTATAAAGTAGTTCAAAGTCTAGTACAATTAAACATTTAAAACATATCCTAGGTAACAAAACTAAACATTTTCATTTAATTTCACATCCCTGAAAAGTGCTTTTATAAATTCTGTCCTTTAAAATAATATATAAGTTATTCAGCTCTGCTATATCGGTTTGTTATATAATAAAAGCCAAATGATCCTTCTCCATTCAAAGTCAACAGAAAAATTCCCTTGTCACACCCAGAGCAGCGTCACACTCACAGCTTCCTTTGTGGTGTATAACTGACATGGTGAAATGTATCAGCACCTACACAAAGGTTTTTCTGTTAAAACTCAGGTAAGTATTCTAGTATACAGTTTGATGAAAATCTCTTTCCGATTTTGATTTCTATGATCTTTAAGCCAAATTTGCATATATTATGAATAGAATAAAGTTCTAATAACAACATATCAAAGCTGAACTGAAATAACCAGCAAACATTTAAATTCATACATATGAATCTATTTTTCCCTATTTCTTACCGAGCTAATTGGGGATGTCTCCCTACTGTGCCACGTGGCAGGATCCAGCCAGTAATAGTCCAAGTCACCTGGAAGAACACGAATGGAAAGAAATGTATAATCTCTCAAACAGAGAAAGATGTATGAATGACTGCCTCTGTATGCATTACTCTTAATGCACAATAGTTTAGTCAAGCAAATATAACACTTGCACTATGGTTCAAATTAACTTAGACATATCAACTTAAAAGGCATAGACTAACAATATAAAAATAAAAAATACATAATAACATAAGGAAAAATACATGATAATATAAGGACCTCTGTTCCTTCATGAATCACACATCAGAATCAGCTGAGCACTCCAGCTGTTTTTCAGTTTGCCCAGTCATCTTCCAAGGATGGATCTCAATATATCGCATTCACACTCTTCCTTCTCCCCCACCTCCATAACAAACGCACAGTGCTACAGCTAATAACAACATTAGAGAGAACACTCCACAGAATAAGCACTTAGGTATAGTTAAGGACAGACCAGCAAACCACCCTCAGGAAACGATGAAGGAGATGATTAATACTGTGCCAACGGGCACTGTACAGACAGAGAGGGACAGAAGCTGATAAATAAGGACAGAACACAGACTACAGGGTGGAAGAGCCACATAAAAAGAGTAAACAGCACAAACAGCAAATACGAGGTTGTAATCTTTCATTTTGCTTGCGACAAACTTATACAGTATGTACTTGGAGAAAACAAAACACAAATAAAGGTGTTTGGAAGCCCCGGGTGGCTGAGGCCGAGCCAGGGAAGGGTGGGCAGGGCCGAGGTGCAGCGATGCCGAGAGCAGAGGCTGCGACACCGCTGCGAGCGCCGGAACTGAGGGCAGGCTGAGGAAAATGCAGTCTGGCCTCGCTTTACAGCTGAGTAGTTAAACATACTACAGCTGTGGGAGGTTGACTTGATACCAAAAAATGGTCAACTTTACTGTTTGTTCTCTGGGAGTAGCGATATTAGAGGAGCGATATAACTGCGCACTCAAAGAAAGGGAAGAGGAAAGAATTGGAGGAGGAAGAGCTGGGCAGCGCAATACGGACTGCAACTTTATTCAGGGAAGGGAAGGGTGCAGATGGTTTGTGGAAAGACTTAGGAGAACGACAAAGGTTAGAAAAGATCCAATAGGAGAGTAAATGCGAGACTGACCCTTGGTGTTATTTTAAACGAACATATCTGTGAACTCTGAACCTTGGCATTTTTTTATTCCTTTGGGCTTTACTACAGTGTATGAGTGCAATGCGATAGCTAGAAATGACAAGGATAACTCTTTGTAGTGCTCTCTTGAAATAATAGCAGTACATAAAAGCTTGATCTTAAGTAATCCAAGTGATACTTTTGAAATTTTTTATGTGAGAAAAGAAATAGTAGACTAATCTTTTATTTAGCTTATAATATCTTAAAAAAAAAAAAAAAGAACGTTTCTGCTCCTGCCCCCATTGCTCCCTGTTCTCTCTTCCCTTCTTCCTTCCCCAGTTTCTGTGTCCGTGTCCAAGTTTCCCTACTACCCTTCCTCCCGGTTTTTGCATATCCTTGACCACCTAAATCATGTATATAGCATCCTAACCCAAAAAATTCTTGCCGTAGCAAGATCCTCTCATGTGTCTTCTGTCCTAACCAACTAATCTTCCCTCTCCTCCATTTGCCTATCTTTTGCTCCCTTTCTCCCCTGTCCATTTTGTTCCTACTGTCTGTCTTCCATCTCCTGTTCCTGGCTGTAAGTTGTATATTTGAATCCCTCCTTCCCTTCGTCCCTCTTCATGCTAAACTATGTCCTCGCCAGCCCTTCTTCCCCATATATAAATCTTTACTTTTCCGTCCCTTCTGCCCCTTCGATCTGTTCTACACTTCCATAAATTTAAAGCTGGTTGCCTCCAGTATGTATGGACACTGACATGGTCATTTTGCTCTTCTCTGTTCCCAGAAGCTGAGAGCAGGAATTGCACTGCAAACTCTGCCGGACTGAGACAAAGCAGAGATGATATACTTGGAATGTATAAATGTAACTATGAAATCAAAACTCTCATCTGAAAGCAGTTGGTCTATATTTTGGAGAATATTTTGAGATGCAAAAACGCCCTCATGCCAGGCCAACCTTTTGGCAAAATTAAAGATTCTGCTCCAGATAAGGAGGGCAGATTTCACAAAGGAACTGGAGAGAAAAAAGAAAAAAGGAAAAAAAACATTTCTGAAAAATAACTGAATTTTTAACTTTCTATTAAAATTCAGTATTAGAGAGATCACCAGCATAGAAATTTTTGGCTCAATCTACAACAATAAAAAGAGTTTTACAATGGAAAGTGTCAGGTAACCCAGCTCACCTATTAATATAGAATAGAACATACAATTTAAAACATAAAGGACAAAATCCACAAACAAGCTGCACACTACCATATTTTTAAAAATGCTGATAACACTTGAACTAGTGTCATGGTATCTGCAGTTAAGCACTCTGCTACAACTACAGTTTTAAAAAGCATTTATCCTTTATCACTCCTTGTCACTGTTGCTTCTCTGCCTAATATCTATTTATGCCATTCTTGCATTGCAATACTGCAGAACTGAATATGTTTGTTTAACTATACATAATTTCACTAAACTAGTATGAAAGAGGTACACAAGTAGGTAAATAACATGCAAAATCTAAGAACATCATTTCAGAATTTCAGATTTTTGCAAAAACAAACAAACAAAAAAACAAACTATACACAGAGTGCTCTCTCCCCTGGTAAAATCACTAAAAATAATTTGTAAAATAAAAACAATTTTAAGACAGTACAGAAAAAAGCCCTCTTTTCTAATGATTTAAATTATCAATTTATAGGCTTGGACTGCTTTTAAACATATCTTAAACAATGCCTTAAATTTACAAATATGAAATAACTAAAAATAATAGGCTCCTATGAACATAAGATAGAGAAACACCATGCCGTTATTCTTGTACATTATCGGTGTATTTATATAAAACATATATAGATGTACCTTAACACTATGCATATGACAGAAAAAATCTGCAGTTATAATTCGTACTTTACTTAGGATTAACAGAGTGAAATAAGTATACACCTATAAAGCCCTATTTCCTGATGGAATAATTCAAAATGTTGTATCGCGTCAGCAATGAAATACTTTTCCTATTATCATATCATACTGCTGCTAGATTACTGTACATTGGGACATAAACTGAAACAATCATACATTTACTTTACAAGAAACAAATGTGTTGAGTATTTCTTGAGAAGTGTTTGGTGGTCTTCAACCTAATTTCAAGATGAGGAATAATAACTCTTTAATATATTCCTGTTGATTTTTTATCAGGAACATACATGCCTTCAAAAAGAAAAGCAAAAGTCACAACACCAAAACAGGGCTCTCACTAAAATGCTTCATTTTCAACAGTACTACCCATACCACAAGCTAATGCTGCAATTCTATGTGAAATCCTGCAAAGCTGGTAAGTGCTAGAAATGACAGCCTTGTCTCTGTTGCAAAGCTGAAACTTTATCCTGTATGACTAGTCACTCCGATTTCCAAAGAATCCTGAACACTGGAGATTAAACACCCTAAATGTTTCCCAAACCCAGACTGTGATATTGGGTGAAGAATCCTGTTCTGCTGTTTTGCTCAAAGCCAGGTGCACCAGGTCTGCAGCATTTATTTAAGACAATAGGCAGACCGAGCCCATTGGTAAGATTCGGCCTGCCTACGTTAGGCACTTCATTCGAGCCTAAGATTTAGCTGCTGATTTATGAAACAGTTCTACCATGTAACTAGGAAACTTATACTATTATTCTCAGAGGCTGCACTAAAATTAAAGTGCAAACCAGCTTCCTCAATTAGACAGACTAGATCTTTCTACTAGCGTAAACAGCAGACATATATGCATTTAGCTTTGTCAATTTAAAGGCTCAAAGACAGCACGCACTACACAGACAATACAGCTTCTCGAAAACCTGGAATAGTCTCCTTTTATGTCTTCCTCAGATCTCATGGAATGGAATCAGTTATTTTATGAATACCGATGAATTTTCCCAGTGTAAAATCAACAGAAGCCATCTATCAACCTACAGAAAGTTACAAGACCACCCTGCAAATACTGTTACAGCCATCAAAAACATTTGGCTGCTATAACACGTGTCATGCATCATATCGTTAAGACATTAACAGTAAGCCAAGACAGCACTTGTGTGCCCAAGAAAAAGAAGAGAAAGAAAAGAAGACAAAGGTCTTTTTATCAGTTCAAAAATAACTAACTGGATAAACAATACATGTGAAAATCATTACAGTCAAGATGCTGGCTAACCACAAAAGGAGAAAACACACAAAATACCCTGGCTTGACACAGAGCCCTCACATCTAAGTGGCAAACAGAGAATTCAAAAAGCTACCTATTGCCTATTCATCCTGAAAGCTTCACAAAATGTTCATTTTCTCCTTGATTTCAAACCAACTGGCTCGATACGCATACAGCTAAGAATTTAAATCCTTGCAGAATGAGGTCTGTGTTTTACCATTCACACAAGTCAAGGACAGACTGGCTCATGCAGTATTTGGGAAGAATTTACCACATGAGTATGAAGTTCAGATTTTATTTTGTACAGAAAATATATAATCGTCATGGATGTGAGCTCCCTGCTGACACAAGTCCTAACCACTGAATGCTAACATACTATAAGATTCCAAAGTTCAAATAACAATGAGTATTCCATATAAATGACAATTCATATATATATAATACTCACATTTGGAGTGCAGATCTGGCACTCATGCCTGCGAACTCAGCTTCTGACACTAGAGCCAGCCCATCAGGTCGTCCCATCAATTTGATATTTAAGTATTGCAGTATAATGATAAGATACAAAATTGCTTTTCTTTATCTTCATAACATTTCTGAATAATTAAAAGTGACTGAAAAAGTATCTATTACTACGTGGATCTTTACCAAACAGTATGTTTTCAGACCTAGATAACTGGCAATCTGGACTTAGTCAACATATCTGAAAATAACTGTTCATTCCTTACTTCTGTGTTTAGAAG